AGTACTTTTCATTTGCTTTAAACCATGTCAAAAACTTGCTCTCTTTCATGGTTTGTTGGTCCACTACTGTCTGTAGCGATGATACGTCGGAGAAATAGACATTTTGTTCACCCGGTAAATGCAAGCTTAGTCTCTCAACCGGGGGAATTCTATATTGAATCTCAAATCCGAGGATTCTCCATGCTGCTTCACAGGGGGACACATATCTACAGTCGTAGTACATTTTTATTTCATCAACTGGTTGATTGGAATCTTCAACACCATTTTTAAAACCATTGGTCTATTTTACATTGACAATACTATCATATGTTGAACATCTTTTCATTTAGAATGCTATTTAAAGTCTGTTTGGTAACACATAAAATGGAATGAATTTATTGAAAGCGATGAAATTCTTGTTGAAACCGCTGGACTGGCCTGAATATACTGAATTATGGGAAAACTAAATTTAAATATATTTTTATTTATAAAGTAAATAAACATTTATCTGAAAAAGTGGCTAAATTTTCTGTTTATAATAACTTCAGTCAATTCAGACAAAAATATTAACTTGAACCTTTCTTATTTTGATCATTATACAATTAAGCTCTCGATATCAAAATTTAAGTATTTGATAAAAAAAATTGACTGATAAGATTGATAAATTCAAAAATAGGGTCACCAAACATCACATAGTTGTAAATGTAAAATGAGCATATAAGCATTTTTATTTATATCATATAAGGGCTAGGTTTTTTTTATTATAGTCACTAAATGTCAATAAATCATATTTTTATCCATTATCCTTTTTTTTTGAAAATCTATTTTTATTCCAAGTGTTATAACCTTTTCATTTTATTTAAAAAATGTATTAAAATTCATAATTCTTGCGATGTTTCATATGAAAGTAATATTGTATTTTTTTGAAGAATTATCAAACAACTTCATATTTTTCAACAACGATATCAAGTAAGTATAGTAGATAAAATGTGACCTATTATCCTTTAATGATTATAATTATGTTTTATATTTATATATCAAACTAACTATACTTAATAAACCTTCAATTTTTTTTTTAAATTTTTTATATGCAATATTAGTGTCATATGAAAGATCATAACAAATATGAAATTTGATATATGTTTTGTAAAAATTAGAGCAAAACTGTAAAAGTTATAACACTTTAAAGAAAATGGGTAGTTTTTATATGGTGAGCCCCACCAATTTTTCTTATATTTAATCCAATGCATAAATTAACATTTTCATATTTAATTAGTGTAGAAATTTTTTTATAAAATAGGCAGATATTTAATCTACTGCGTAAGACAATTATTTCATATTTTAGTAGAGTATAAAAAAAAGTCTATTACTTTCTTATATATAAAGAGATAGTGTTTTAAAAGTGAAATTGTTTGAATCTACCAAAGTTTATTAAATTCTAGCTGAATTGATTTTAAAGGCTAACTTTGGTTCTTATAATCTCGATAAAAAATAAAGATAAAGGTCATATGTTGAAGATGATGATAAAAAAATTAATTTTAGACTAATATAACTATATTTCTTACTACTGATTTCTCGAATTGAATGACTCCTGTTGATGAAAAAATAGGAAGATTAATTAATAAACTTTCAGATTTTTTTTATAAAAATTTTGTATATGCAATATTAGTGTCATATGAAAGATCGTAAAAAATTATAAATTATGATATATATTTTTTAAAATGTAGATAAATGATGAAAAGATTATAACACTTTGAAGAAAATAGTTTTTTTATATAAATTGGGCCCATGAATTGATGCCACGTTGGTATGATACAAATAAATGTTGAGAACGTATACCGTGCGCAATTTATACCGTGGGATCGACCCACCATGAGCATGGTGTGCCGATCCCAAAACTACGTAGTATTGTTCATTAAAAAAGCAAGAAACCCTTGTTCTGTAAAAAAAAGACTGTGCGGCTCCGACAGTCTGGTTCCTTCCCTAGCGATCTCCCTTTTCTCTTGCGTTGTGGTTGCTAGCGCGATAACTCTGCCAAACCTCTGCCAAAGAATAAGTCAAGTTCAAGGAAGTATTCAGAATCTGTTTTGTTTGCTTAATCAACAAGCCTCTGGGTCGTTCAAGACCATGCCGACTCGTAACGATCGCTGCCCACCTTACGTTTCCTCATTTGAGTTTGACCATAGATAATGGGCATGAATATGCTTTTCACAAAAAACGAGTAATGTCTTTGAAAACCTCTTCAGGAATCGTTAATTTGGACAGGCAGAAAGAATTCACAAGAGTACACTAAGAATATTAACTTACATCTTGGGCATACTCAAGTTACATCAAGATTTGACTAAAGTCACATATCTTATACCGTGAGTTACATGTCAATTTTTCTTAGCAAGTTACACCATGTTTACACTTGATTTACATTTTCCAAAACGCATGTTACACCAAAATATAAGGCGAGTTACACAACACAGTAAACCTCTGCTATTCAAATAAAAATTATTTTTATAAAAAAATATTTGTGTAGACCTGATATTGAAAACAAAACATATACACTAGTTATGTAAAATAATTGGGCAATTAGAATTCTTCTTTTCATTAAAATCAATATTTTATTTCTAATTTTATGTATAGGACAAGTTACATTTCGACTAGGTTTGAGTTACATTCATCAATGACGTGAGTTACATTATTTTACACGCGAGTTACATCATTCATGTTACTGGGATAAAAAGAAAAAACAGTTACTGTTCACGTGTTACTGTTCACGCGTTACTGTTCATCCGATTTTTTAAAAAAAAAAAATTGTGCAAAACTACGTCGTATTGGGTGTGGAGCACGGTGCTCACCGTGGGATGATCCCACGGTATAAGCACTGTATACCGTGGGATCATCCTATTTTGGTGCCACGTTGGTATGATACAAATAAACGTTGAGAACGTATACCGTGAGCATCATGCTCCACCCCCAAAACGACGTAGTTTCAATCAATTTAAAAAGAAAAATCGCGTGAACAGTACACGCGTGAACAGTACACGCGTGAACAGTACACGCGTGTACAATACCTGTTTTTTTATTTTCATCTCAGTAGCATAAATGATGTAACTTGTGCATAATTAGATGTAACTCGTGTTGCTACAAATGTAACTTCAGTTAACAACATATGTAACATGTGCCCTGAAATGTAATTCATGTTTAATGGAAAAAAGAAGTCCAATTGTCCAATTATTTTACATAAATAGTGCATATGTTTTATTTTTAATATTAGGTTCATTAAAAATGATTTTCTTAATATTAGGTTCATTAAAAATCATTTTTGATTGAATAACAGAGGTTTATTTTGTTGTGTAACTCGCAGTATGTCAAATGTAAATCAAGTGTAATCAAGATGTAACTTATTGAGAAAAATTAAAATGTAAATCGTGTGTTACAAAATGTAACTTTAGCCAAAATGAAATGTAACTCTAGTGTATGTGAAATGTAACTCTTTTTTTCTTTCTATCCCCTGATTATAAGAGGAAGTTTTATGAAGCTTATAAATCAATAATAACAACAATTACAGCAAATTAAGGACTGTTGGAGTCCCCAACAACAAAATATTCTCCAAGCAATAGAGAATTCATGAAATAGGTAGAAGAAGCTGGAAAGATGATGTTCCCTATGCGTTCTTATCCCTCCGTCCTTCTTCTTCAAATAACAAAAATTATTGATAACATCGAACAAGTAAAGGAATGGGCTCCACCATATACATCGAATAAGGAGTAACTGTTTTCCATCGATGCTCTGCTATTGCTAATTTGGCCGATTCAATTCTCTGTGTCTCACAAACGGAAGTCGGCGATAGGGAAGTGCGAAAGGAACATGCTCACCTTTGCTGGGAAATAACAACGAAGCTCTGCTCTAATTTTTAATTGGAAACGGTACCGTATGGGATCGGCACACCATGCTCATGGTGGACCGATCCCACGGTATAAATTGCGATAAATGTTGACCTTCTTTGTTTGTGTGTTCCGTATTAACATTAGAATTGGCCACATGACATTTTTATAGCAAATGAGCAAATTGTGGAGAGATGAACGTACACATAGGGATAAAGAGATATTACCCAAAATAGGACTAAAACAGTTTGAAAATTCCAAAATAGGACTTCCATGTTTTTATTCCCGAAATAGGACTAATTACTGTCATGTTTTGACAGTACCAGACTTTAAACATGACAGTATTTTCCAAATTTGGCAGTAATTTGTCTTATTTTGGGAATAAAAACATGACAGTCCTATTTTGGAATTTTCAAACTTTTTTAGTCCTATTTCGGGAACTTTCCCTAGGATTAATGGAAGGTGTAATAGTCTTTTAAAGAGCTATTTGTTTTCGGGATATTACCCGAAATAGGACTAAAAAGGTTTCAAAATTCCAAAATAGGACTGACATGTTTTTATTCCCAAAATAGGACTAATTACTGCCATGTTTTGGCAGTACCAGACTTCAAACATGGCAGTATTTTCCAAACTTGGCAGTAATTACTCCTATTTTGGGAATAAAAAACATGGCAGTCCTATTTTGGAATTTTCAAACTGTTTTAGTCCTATTACGGGAACTTTCCCTTTGTTTTCTTATATACTACGTATAAATAGACTTTACTAAATTAACTAACTGGGCACGTGGGCGAGAATCCGGTAATATAACGTTACTCTTTCATATATCGGCGAAGGGAAAAGAAAAGAAGGGCGTAGGACAGTAACCTATGGCAACTCGTAAATACTCTTGGCATGGCAAGTTTCCCGCCAATCCCGGTCTCATGTGGTCCTTGTTCTCCCATTTCTTCTGTTCTCCCTTTATTGCATTTTACTGGTAATCGTTCCATGCTCAATTAACCCCATCTCCGTTCTCTCCAAATCGAGGAAGAAATTGTATGATTTTGTCTTTTTGTATGTGGGTTCGCAATTCTAGTGATTATAATCTATAGTATTGTGTGAAGTCTGTGTATTCTGACACGTAGAACTGAGAATTACATGCAGTTTCAAATATTTGATGTGCAAATCAGAAGGTTGTAGAGGACTTTATCTGTTGAGGGTTTCTGTGTGCAAATCTATATATAATGTGGCCGTATAACCATAATTTTGATGCACCGTGAATTCATCTCACGTATTATTATTACTACGTATTATTAATATCTTGCATCATAGTTCTGATATGAAGAGTAATTGATTTCCAGGTTCTGGAATTCAAAGGGCATATCTAAGTTCATTGATGTGGAAATTAGAAGGGTTTTAACCTTTAAGTGTATTCGTATTTTCTGAGGGTATTTCTCAATTCTGTAATTGTTGTGGCTATAAAAATCAAAATAGTGATGTTTTGGGAATAATATTCAGTACATTATTTCTATGATTTTGATTATTTTTTCGCGTTCCATAGAGTTGCAATATATTGTAATGGAGACAATAGCTGAACAGCAAATATCTAAACCAACATTGTCCCACAATATTATGCTTGTTGTTGAAATAACCTGTGATGATGCCGGTTTTAGAAATTACGATCTCATTATTCCTTCATGTTAAAATTGCAAAGGACGCACATATGCCATAAAACATCATCAGTACATTTTTTTACACGAATTTATAGTGTTAATTAATTTTTAAAATGATTTTTTACTATAATTTAATGTCACAAACCTAAGTAGTTAGGAATAAGGTGTTGATAATGAAACGGAATTCAATTTAAAGACACTTTGTGTGCTGCGTGATTTTTATACTTATGAATTCATTTATGATCTTGAAGTGATACAGTATTGTTTGACTCAAAACCGCAAGACTGAAACTTGAAGGCTTTGTTGAAGATCTTGGTTATGGGCTAAATGGCTGATCATTGGCATTTATATCCAGTAATGGTTCTTGTTGAGTACCTCACAGTGTCAGTTGAGTAAACTCTAACATGCACATGAAGACTTGAAGTCAACATCTTTTTGGGTCCCAAAGAAGAAACTGTACATATTGTGGATCTAGTCTTTGTTTGTTTTATCAGAAAATATACTATAAATAATGGAAGTCCAGCACACATCACCTCAGTTATCCCGTGTTGGGGGTTTGCAGAAACAAACAAGTGCACCTCCTTTGGAAAATAGCTTCGGTTTATTTGGGTCAGTTCTTTTACATGGAGAAATAGACTTGTGGATTATGGAAGCTAAATCCCTCCCAAACATGGACCAAGTAAAAGGTCTAGCCCAATTCAATGATCGTGACACCAGTGACCCTTATGTATCTGTTTGTGTATCAGGAGCAAGTATAGCCCGAACTGCAGTGATACGCAACTGTGAAAACCCATCATGGGACGAGCATTTTCGGGCCTCGATAGCTCACCTGGTTGAGAAAGTTGAGTTTCATGTCAAGGACAATGACGGTGTAGGGGCAGAAATGATTGGAACCGTGGATATACCCGTGGATGATATCCTCAGTGGGAATGAAGTCAGTGGTTGGTTTCCTATCCTTGGATCTTCAGGCTATCCAGTGAAAGCCGGTGCTGAATTGCATCTCTCTATTCAGTACAGACCAGCCGCTACCAATCTTATATACAAAGATGGTATTGGTGTCCTGAGAAACTCTCTTGGAGTGCCAAACACTTATTTCCCAATGAGGAGAGGGGGAAGGGTTACACTTTATCAAGACGCTCATGTGCCCGATTCAATGTTGCCTGACATTTTACTTGATAATGGGAACTTTTTTAAGCAAAATAAGTGTTGGGAAGATATATGTCACGCTATCATGGATGCCAAACACTTGGTTTATATTGTTGGATGGTCTGTCTATCACCGAGTGAAGCTTGTTCGGGAACCTACTAGGCCATTGCCTTCTCCAGGGGCAATGTGCCTTGGAGATTTGTTGAAGTACAAGTCTCAAGAAGGAGTGCGTGTTATTCTGCTCATCTGGGATGACAAAACATCAAATCACGACTTCCTTCTGAAAACGGTAATGCTATTCAAAGAGAATACAGCTATTCTCAGATGTCTGTTGTGTTTATTACTTTATTTAATCAATTAGTCTTCTTTCCTCACTGATTTAGCTTGTAAAAGGTGTTTTGGTTAGGGTTGGGCATTTGGAGTTCGTGTTTGTTTTTCTCTTTCGGTTCGGCATTTTCGGTTTTTTGTTTTGGCTACTTTCGATTAAGACAGATTTGGGAAATGATTGCCTAGCTAAAATCAATCTCAATTCAGTTTGAGCCCAGTTAGGATTTTTTATTGAAGATTTTATGTTTCTTTTAGTTTCGTTAGGTGTTTATTGGTTTTGGTTTGATTCAGATCACTGCGGTTTGGTTAAAACATACAAACTAAAACCCTATTATATATGGACCAGTTTTGGTTTGAGATAATTCTATTTGGTTCCGTCAACTGCACTGCAATGCACACCACTAGTTATTGGTCTGTATTTTGGATGTACAAAATAGAGAACTGTGCCCACTGCTAGTTTTTGGTCTTTACTAGGATGTACAAAATGTGGACTGTGTTTCTTATGATCTTGAGATTAAATCGTGATCCACAAAAATTTCAGGAAGGAGTTATGCAAACACATGACGAAGAAACAAGAAAGTTTTTCAAGCACTCTAGTGTTCATTGTGTGCTTTGTCCTCGATCCCCCAGTAATAAACTCAGCATTTTCAAGCAAAAGGCTGGTGACTGTCTATATTCGCGGTCTTGGTAAAAAAAATACTATCCTCCAAACTTTAAAAGTTGCAACAGTTTGACTTTCACGTTTGACAACGCAGTACTTTGACCGTAATTATATTTAATTACGTATTAGTAAAAATTATAAAAAGTTAATATTTTGGAAATTCACATTAATAGAAATTTAATAACATTTTCTACATAATAATTTGATTATACATAGTAGTAGAAAATCGTGGTCAAAGTAAGGTATGTGAATAGTGCAAAAATCCTAATGTTGCAACTTTTAAGAAACGGAGGAAGCAAGTGCTTTTATATAAAGAAAAACACTTCTACTTAAAGAAGAAACGTTTGTCATGAAAATGAATAAATGCTTTTAATTCTTAAAAAGTTCTTTTTGTGCTTATTTAAGAAACCACAGGATTGGCTCTTTTTGATAAAGCAGGTTCACTGCTTAAATGAAAAATCACTTTTTATAAAAACATAAGACATCTCAAACTGGCTCTTAAATATTGTATATTTGAAGTTTGAGATTTCATTTCATAATTCTAAGAACTAAATAGAGATCAAGCTTAGGGCCAGCTGCGTGTCTTTAAATAAAAAGGTTAGCATTATTTTGTTTTTAATTGAAAAAAATAATCTGCGACAGGTTGTTGGAAACCTTTTTACTCATCATCAGAAGTGTGTTCTTGTTGACACTGAAGCTCCTGAAAATTGTAGAAAAATAACAGCCTTTATTGGTGGCCTGGATTTATGTGATGGCCGATATGACACCCCTCAACATCGGATTCTCAATGATCTGGATACCATCTTTGAAAATGATATACACAACCCTACCTTCTCTGTAAGTAGCTCTCATTCATCCTCTCGTATGCTCTGATGAATAATGCATTAAAGTTCTCATGTTATGAAATTTAAGGTCCTATTTAAGTATTCAACAACCACCTTACTTATCCACTGTCTTTTCAATACTTGACTATTTGAGTTCTGTATTCCCCGTATGCCTATTAAGAACCTGAGAAGTTAATATCTCTGGTTGACTTATGGTTGCGTATTTGTGAATATTAATAGGACCACATGCTTGGGACGAGTATGGCTCGGTCACCCCACTGACGTTGAATTTGTATCTGCGTGTTCCAGATTTGCTTATTCAATTATGTATATAAGTATATTACTTCTACTTCCATAGTTCCATCCCACTAAGATCGAGCCATGAGGAATTGGCAAGATTATTTAAAAAATCAGAATCATGTGGTTGGTATCGAATTGATAAAGTATGAATCAATTAAGAATGAATTAGATTTACACAAATATTACCAAATATGGTATGAGATAAACTTAGTGACACAGACAAAAATTGAAAGATGAGGCAAAGATAGTGGAACATGGGGGGTATTTTGTACTTTTCGTAAAATTAGCACACTTTCCTTGTATCTGAATGTACAAGTTGGGGCATAATTATTCTTTTGTACTTACAAATTTTGTCTTGCTGTGATAGGACATACAATCGCTGTTTTAGACTCCTTATGGAGTTTTAGTAGCCTTGTATGGCTTAGTCTGCGTAATAACCCTTATCAAACAAGCCCTTAATTTAATTGTTGCCTGTGAAATGTACAGGATTGTTTGTCGGGCCCGAGACAACCATGGCATGATCTACACTGTAAAATTGACGGTCCTGCTGCTTATGATGTACTGACTAACTTTGAACAAAGATATAGAAAATCTGCAAGGCGGATGTATTTAAATATGAAAAAGATTAGGCATCGGAGTGAAGATGCTTTGCTTAATGTGAGACTAATCCCGTACATTAATCTTCCTTCTGCGGGACCCGATGGGGAGCTTAGTGTATGTATTACCAGTGAAGACGATCCGGAGAACTGGCATGTTCAGGTTACCATAAATTTACTATATTCTATTGTTTCAGTCATTTTTTGCAACACATGATCGTTTAAATCAGGTAAATACTATTTAAGTTCTCAGGTGTTCAGATCAATTGATTCCGGATCTGTCAAAGGATTTCCAAAGGATGTTAAGGAAGCTGAGGCTCAGGTAGAATCTAAGCTATAGTAAGATCAGGAGTTTTATTGAGTTTGTAACAAGTTTTGTCCTTGAGTATTATGTCAGTTATACATTTAATCCACGACTTTCAAATTGACTACATTTTTACCTGGGGTTTCATTTCCTTTCCAAGATTCAGTTCTATGTGAACAGATTTGTTTATTCTTCATCAAGGAGGATAACAATGGAAAACCATATACTAACAGATGTCTGTGAATTGCAATATGGAGAACTAATTTCATTTTTGCTCTTGTTCTAGATGGAGAACTAATCTCATATATATTCAAGGAGGACTAACCTGGAAAGAACATGAACCTCAAGGTAGAAATGTTATTAAATTGAAAGTTAAGGACTAAATCTGGTATTAACTCAGTGTAATGAGTAGTGACTAGTTTCAGATCTTTCTTGCCCAGTTGATGCATACTACACACATTGAAACGTAAACCTCATATGGCTAAAAGTGTGGAGAGGAGAGGAGGTGAAATGGGGAGGGGGTGGGAGGAATACTGAAAAGCTTAAGAAGATGCTATATTTGGTTCAATGGAATGAGAATGAATTATTGTTATTCTAGAAGAATATATAACAGTATTGTATTCCATATTAATTGTTGCTGTAATAGAAAACACACTAAACTGTATGTATAAGTATAACAATAGTAATGTATAAAACTTTAATGAACACAAAGATGAAAAACAAATTAGAAAAAGTACAACTCTTTTGAAATACCCTAAACTGTATGAGTGAATATGAGGATTTTGGAGAAGCGTATAGCTCCTTCACTTAATCAACTTTCCCCTTGAGTCCCCAACAAAACACATAATACTCATCCACTATCGTCACCTTCCATCCAAACAAGGGCGTAATAATCAATATACCATAACCATATAAGATTAAGACTGATGCATTTTTATGTTTTAACATTTGCTACAGAATCTTGTATGTGGAAAGGCTTTGCGAATAGATAGAAGCATACACACTGCATATGTGAGTGCGATAAGATTTGCGCAGCGCTTTGTTTACATAGAGAATCAATATTTTCTTGGCTCTTCGTATAACTGGTCGTCACACAGATATGCAGGCAAGCCATTTCAACTTAAAATGTTTATGGGCTTTCTCATTAAAATTTGTGCCTGGGTAAAAAATGTTCATGTTTCTGATGACAGCCCAAAGATACATTATTAGCCCAGGAAATAGTTTCTTTATTATTTTTGTAATTATGATTCTTTGTGTCTGTTCAGATTGTAATTAATACTATCGTATTAGTCAGTACTGTTTGTTCAGTTTATAATCATTAAATTTGTTCAGTATCTAGACAGTCACCTAGAGTTCTGGACGGACACTTCCTAGGTGTCTCTTCCCATTAATCTACTTCCCTATAAATATAGATATGTACTTCTTGTTCATTAAGTCCTATCATTAACAAATCTGTATCACAGCTTGAGTTTAATGTCATCTTAGCCTCTTCTCTATTAACCACACCTCCAACAGTCTATTTGGGTGTCTCTAACTCTCTACCCCTCTATCTTTAACTCCTAATGTGGGTCTCTTCACTAAGGTTTCTATCACGTCTAATGAAGGGCAATCAATGTAAAGTAGGCAAGTCACTTTGACCACTCAACTATTTTCTGAGCTGCTATTCAAGCTGCGGCTGCTCTTCGACAACAGAAATTTGATCTTCCTCCAATGAGGCTATCTTGGATGGTCAAAGCTGGTCTACACACTCCTCTGTGGCAAGGATTTTGAAATTATCTTACCGTTTCTACACCAGAAAAAGGGGATATTGAATGTTGCAAGCTGGGACAAAACCAATGCCCGCATATGGATTTGGTTATGGGACTCTATGTATCCCAACATCAGCAACGCCATGTCTATAAATGGACTCTGCTAAATGTGGGATTTCATAAAGCAATGCTATTCTGCTGCTAAAGATGGCACTTTTGACTTGTGGCTCCAAAGGATGAATCTTTTACAAGACTAACAATCTGTTACATAATATGCTACCAACCTTCACCCGGCAAATGTTCCCCGGCATTTGCCCCACCGATGGGTGGTTTGTCTACTGGTTTAAAAAAATATGATACCAACCTCCAAACAATGGAGTGGTCTAATACTCTAATGCTGCTGATGCAACTCTTCACAAGAGCTATATAAACCAGCAACGTCTATACTGCTTCTTGGCTGGTTTAAATCCAGAATACGATTTACCGTCAAGCATGAAGAGAGCAGACACAATATAATGATAAATACTGTTAAGACTCGGGGTTCCATCGTAAAAGGTCAACCTAATAGGAGGAGTAACCCAAAGCCTTATATAGTGTTTAATTGTTTTATAGCTTTCCGGTGTGGGACAAATGCTTTAACACGCCTCCTCAACCCGAACCGGGATGGACAATATCGGGGTGTATAAACGGGTCAAACAAACCCTTAACAAGCTACCCTTAATCTTGACTCTTGAGCGCTAAACAAGCCGTCAAACCACAACCAAAATTGGCTCTGATACCAAGTTAAGGCCTGGGGTTCCATCCTAAAAGGTCAACCTGATAGGAGGAGTAACCCAAAGCCTTATATAGTGTTTAATTATTTTATAGCTTTCCAGTGTGGGACAAATGCTTTAACAAATACAAAGCCGATTGACATTATGGATCTTGCCATCAAGTCCACTTCTTCCGATGCTAATGGAACTAAGAATAGGGAGAAAGACATATGATCATTGCAAGTGGTCTATGGACACATGCTCAAAGCTTTCTCTTCACACGCGGACCTTGTGCCCTGCTAACTTAACCACTTTCCTCATCACACCAGCTCTACTAACTTCTCACCAATTTCTTAGGAGGAAATACAACAACTTTGTATGATGCTACGGTCTCTTAATACCTCAAATGGTTCTGGTCATAGTTCTTTGGCCTTGTAAGGTCTACTATTTATTGCCTCAATGCTTCATAACAAAGTCCACAATACAATCGATATCAGGATCAGGTGCACATCTCATATGATTGTTGTATCCTCCTTACCCTCCAATTATAATCCATGTTTCACATCTACATACATTATTACTGCTGATGGCACATGCACACAAGTTAAAGGTCATGACACTATAATTTTTCTGATCAGTTGAATCTGAAAAACCTTACATGTCCCTAACCTTGCTATGAACCTTGTTTGTACTTACAAGCTCACAACAACAACAACACCCGAGCCTTATTCCCAAAAGATTTTGGGGTCGGCCATCATGAATCGATCTATGATCATTTCATTTTCATTTACCCCAGTGCCGCAAAGGCTCCCACCTACGGTGGGGTAAGGGGGGTCGGATGTACGCAGTCTTACCCCTGTACTAAAGCACAGAGAGACTGTTTCCGGATGACCCATAGTGAAAATCGTGTCCAAAATTGCATGGACTGGCTGTTGCTTCACAACAAAGAAGCGCAGACAATTTAGTGAGCCATTTTGCTTTATTCCATCATATTTTCAAGCCAAAAAATAATGAATCTTTGGCTCCATTGCAAATGAATCGATCTATGATATCAGAGAAAAAAGAGAAGAAAGATAAGAATAACAAAAAGATAAAGTAAGATGAAATAGATAAGACAAAGATAAATATAAGATAAAAATAACATAAGAACATAAGAAAGATAAAAAGATAAAATAGCATAAGAAAGATAAAAGATAAAAATAACATAAAAATATACAAAGATAAAGATGATAAAAGATAAAAGAAAACGGGAGAGGAAAGATTTACAAGCTCACTGTTGATCTTAATTGTGCTGTCATTTCTTCCCTTCTTGTTGTTTCCCATAGGATCTAGGTATGGGGAGGAAAATTAAAATTGCTTAGCAACGAGATGACTCGTACTATCTTGATGCACTTATTGTCTCCAATTCTCCACAAAAATCCCTACCTCAGTCACTTCCAACACCGATTTTATTTGGCCTCATCATAGGCGACTTGATCATCATCTATTCATGTCTTGAAAACCATATTTCCTAGTCTTTTCGGTAGTATTGCTTTTTCTACCTTTCAATGTGATGTGTGTGAACGTGCTAAACAATCTCGTGTATCTTTTTCCCAATGTAGTACAATGAGTCGTTCTCCTTTTGATGTTATGCACATAGTGATGTTTGAGCCCTACTCCAATTGCTAATATATAAGGTGAACTCTCTCCCCATTTTCTGCAATATGATTCATAAATAATTCTCCACCAATATAAAACGCTTGCGTAGTAATAATGCCCTTGAATACTTCAATCAAGTTGTCTCCTCTTTCTTCCTCTCATAAGGTATTGTTCATGAGGCTTCCTATCCATACACACCTCAACAAAATGATACCACAAAGAAAAACTATCATGTTTTTGAAGTAAGGCAGGCTAATTATTCCAATTAAATATGCCTAAACGCTACTGGGGGAAGCCACACATTCATAGCATGTCATCTCATCAATAAATTTCTAACTTATCTACTAAAAACAAGCTAAGTAGTTAAATCGCTACTCGGTAGCAACTCGGTTAAGGGCTGAGTAGCGAGTAGGACTGATGACTCGGGATTACTTGGTGATTACTCGGCGCTATATTAATTAATTTTAAATATATAACTGTCTGAGATTATAGTAAAATATTATTCTTATAATTCTTAGATATGAAAAAAATAAAAAAAATAATCCTAATGAAGAAGAAATTAGAAAGAAGATAAAGGAGAATAACTTTCCAAGAGATGGGGAACTACTGCTGAAATGAGCTGATGTCTGAAATACATTTAAATCTAGACTTTTAAGGTTAATTTCCATTTCTTAAAATACCCACTCATTATTTATAAATTCCATAATATCCCTCTTTAATAAAAAAAATTTAAAATTTAATAAAAAATAAATATTTTATGACTAACGAGTAACTCGCCGAGCAAAAAAAATTCATGAGTCAAGAAACTCGTTGAGTACTCGGCAATTAACCCGGAATAACAGGGTGGGCCGAGTCTGGTTGCTAAACGGAACAGTCACTCCCCGAATTGCGAGTACTCGCTGAGTACTCACCGAGTAGATAACACAGAAAACAATTCTTTTCGCCACTTCTTTCCTCACTAATATTTCTTTTTATCTTGATCTAAAGGTGTCTGTGTGTATTGCATTTGTTCATATTCCTCCACCTCATAAGGTGGAGTGGACTCATGATTTGTTTGTGTGTCTTTGTGGACTATTCTCCAACCCAGAAAGGATACAAGTGCTATAAACTATAATCCTACTGATAAGTACCTAGCACAATTCACAGATCACAATCTACAATCCAGTAATCCACACACGATCACCAGTAATTCAAGCAAGAAATTAAGAGAACAATCCACTATCTTATTCCCCAAGAAAACTCAGTACAGAGGTACACCGTATACAAGCCAAAAGGAGATAATACTCCTAAGTCCCAGTCCCAAGTCAAAAATGACAAAATAGCCTCCCAACCTACTGCAGGATCAATTATTTATACTCCTCCCTAACGGAAGGGCGGTTATTAGTTACTTAACAACTTCAACTAATAACCGGGTAGACTATTTAAGCCTTCTCCTATACACCTGCCCATATCTACTTCCTTTATTTAGACTAACACCCACATCCCTATCAATACCCCCTTCTTGAAGAATCAACTTGTCCCCAAGTTGAAATTCAGGGAACTGGTTCTGAATAGTCTGCAGTTCCTCCCATGAGTCCTCATAATCCGGTAGATCTTGCCAATGAATTAGAACCTCTTGTTTCCCCTCTTGATTAAGTCTGCTACTCTTCACCGCTTCAGGTTTTACTTGCAACTCACACTCCTCAGTAAGACAAGGTGGAAGACTCTGAAAGGTCACAGTAGGCTTTAGCACCTTCTTAAGCAAGGACACATGAAATACAGGATGGATTCTGCTCCCCTCTGGTAATTTTAGCTTGAAAGCCACTGCGTTAAGTTTCTCCACCACCTCATAAGGCCCATAATATCTAGGACTGAGCTTCTGATTGACTCTTTTAGCAAGTGTCTTCATCTTATAAGGTTGGATCTTTAAGAACACCATATCTCCAACTTCCAGTTTTATCTCCCTTCTATGCTTGTCTGCCTGCTGT